GTTGTTTTATTACCTGATTTAGTCAGATGTTTGTCATAGTTTTTTTGCATAAAAAATATTTATATATCATTTACTAGGTCCATTACACATGTTAGGTTTTAAAAACAAACATTGCATGTCCGTTTGACGAGGATCATATTAAAGAATGATCGACAGTTTTCACAGAGAAATAAATATTTATAGGGAGAGGATTCTACAACTCAGTTGACAGGGCATGAAATTGTTTTTGGTTTGTTTAATCTGAGCGAGTTGCGAATCATTTTATTTTTATTTTGTTATATATACAGTACATGAAGAACTACTGAAACTATTCTCAGATTACACAAAAATAGATTCAATTTCAAAAGGAAAGGAATTACTTTCGGGTTAAGTTATTATTCACCCGATAACAACCTAATGAGCCTACTCTCACAATCTGAAGCCATTCTATGGGACTGATAGCTGCTTATAACGGGCATCTATTGGGATAATAACATCCGAACCGTGGCTGCGAAGACTAAGGGTTGCATGAGATGATCCAAAGGTTCTATATATTAGAACATTTTTTTTATTCTTCATCCTCACCTGCTTCCTGAAGATTTCACCTAAATAGATACATTGATCTACTAACATTCAAGAAATAATCTTGTAATATTTTCACGGTAACAACAACTTTGGCAAGCCGTTTTGATATGTACTAGTTTTACTGAATATGTATCCCTGATATCTGAAAAAATAAAATAAAATCTTGCTTTCCATAAATGACCATTTCAAACAAAATGACATTCTCCACATCTGGAATAAACATTCTGGATGTCTATAAATTAATTTCAGATCTCCATATTCCTAATATTACTGGTCAGCATATGTATTATGTTTTTCAGATATCATAAAGTCAAGCTGATAAATGTCAGAATGGCCACTTAAAATGTGTAAACATTTCTAGATATATAAAACTTAATTCTTTCTAGTAGAATTTTACTTTTTTTACTTTCTAAAATTAAGTTTCTGCCACAAAAATGTAATTTAGAAAATATATTATTACTGTTCTGTCTAGGAGTGTGATTTTAATCAGTAAGAATCTTATCTTAGTTATCTACAAATGGAACAACAGAGAGGAGGGCTTTTAATAAATGTAAAAACATCCTGCCATAGTCCACTTCATATAAACGTACGCATTAATTCAAGCAACAATCTTCCCCTTTGCCACCTTCCTCTCCTTTGTAGCTGTAGTGCTGTTTCTCTGTCTTTTAAACATATTCTCTTTTTTTTTTTCATTTCTGCATTAAAATCTCTAGTTCCAGTGGGGTGAAGTCGACACTTCCTGTTGCCTGTCGTCATAGTGACTCGTCGAATCGGTGCTCCACTGATAATGGATTTTGATAATAGCGCACCTGCTTAACTCTGAGAGGACCTAGTTAAAATTGATTGAACTAATGGAAAGCTGCTGTTGTAAAACCGAACACTCAGACTTCCTGACTTTAGACTAGATCAATTTGAATCTGAATTTGTTAAACCTGCTTTGTGAAACAGACCCCAGAAGAATGGGACATCCATCCATCCATCCATCCATCCATCCATCCATCCATCCATCCATCCATCCATCCATCCATCTTCCATCACACTTATCCCAAGCGGGGTCGCAAGGGATGCTGGTTCCTATCTCCAGCTGTCGTGCAAGATGCGTGGTACACCCTGGACAGGTTGCCAGTGTCCATTGAGTTAAATGAGTGTCGGCAAAGTGTCTGAATATTTATGACCATGTGATATTTCAGCTTTCCTTTTTGAATACATTTGCAAAATGTTCGGTTTCTGACTTTTCTTTTTCTGTCAAGATGGGGTGCTGAGTGTACATTAGTGAGAAATAAAGAAAATATATATTTATCAGCAAATGACTGCAATGAAACAGAGGGACAATTTTAAAGAGGTCTGAATACTTTCTGTAGGCATTATAACCAACAGAATTTTTATTTTTTTGTCTGAAGACAGAGGATGCTCTTTTTGTTCACAAAAGTTCAAAACTCCTCACATCTCACATAATTCAAAAAGGTTTCAAAAGTGTCAAAAAGGTTTAAAGAATTGAATTTTGTGATTTAAGAAGCAACTATTGTCAAAATTTAGTAATAAGTAATAAAAAAATCTATTTAGTTTAGCACCATGATTTGTTAAGATTTTGTAACTGAGCACTGTTAGCCAGCCTACAGAGAAAAACAAGAAAACAAGTATACAAATAACCACTAATGAACCAAACAGTTGATTTCTTCTTCTTTATTTTTTTATTGCTTGGACACAAATAATAATGCTACACAGACTCCAGGCATGTGGGTGGTAATATTGCATATCACTTTTTCGTCAGCTGTAAAAAACATGCAGATCATTCACTGAGAGATAGAAAGGTCTGCTAAAATGGGATGTATGACAAGACTACATTGTCTGGCTTGTTGGTAAAAAGTTTGCTAAAAACTGACTTATAGGCATATGGTTTTGTGCAAATTGTGAAAAAAATGCTTTTCTTTTTCGGACCCCAGATTATTAGCTAAATGCAAAACCTGTTATTGCAAGCATGGACACCAAAGTTAACATTTGTTACAACAGGGCAAGGGCAAACGATTGACCAAGTGAAAGAATTTACAGCTAGAATGTGTGATTTGATACAGTAGCAGCCATTCAAAAGGGCCCTTCTCAGTCAAAAGCCAGCCGAATGACAGGCCACTTCCTTGCAGCTCGCAGCAAAATCCTCTCCAACTTCCAGTCACTGGCCTTCTCCTGGGCATGCATAATTTTTTTACTCTAACTCCACCCTTTCACTGAATTACAGGGTCTGACCAGGAGAAGGCGCTTCTCTTTAGATCATAATGTCCACAAATCATGACAGAATATTTTAATACAAAGATTGGCATTTAAAAAGGACTTAAATGGGGACTAGTCAAGGACCAGACAAGGGCACATCAAGGGAAGTGGGGAAATTTTGAATGGCTACTACTATACGTATGGCTATTCACTGATTACAAAGTTTACTTAATCTAAATATTACCTTCACCAAGGAAGTTGTGTTTTCGTTGGCATTGGTTTGTCTGTTTTCAAACTAACAAAGTTATGGGTGGATTTTGCAGAAATTTCAGAGACTATGCTTATTGTGACTGACAAGTGTTTAAATTGTCGTCATGACCACAATCTTGAGCCGGGAATTTTTTTGATTCTGTGAATACAGGTATTAAGTTAAGATGGAAGTCAAAATATGTTGGAGGAAATGAGCAACTTGCGCTGCGAGATCTTTTCTCGTGTTAAAAAGTTGTCAGTCTAGATTATTGATGTTTCATCAGATTAATTTTCTGTCACATGTGTATAGATAGATCAACTTTGCATTCAGTCTGATTGACCTTAAGCTATTTTGCATAAATGATAAAACAGCTGGTAAACTAATACCTCTAAAGACATGATGCCCTCACTATAGCTGAATATACAATATTGACTTAAGGGGGGGGGGGGGCTAAACTTTTCATATGTTTATCCATTAATTTACTTCAACTGGACTTTCATAAATTAGGGTAAGAGTAAGTTCATCACACAAAATTATAATAGTATATCCATGTTTGTGACAAACTTTGAAATAGGCTTAGGATGCATGAAAACTAATCCAAGGCAGTAAACATTTAAGGACAGATCCACAAGATGATATATTTCGAAATTTTCGACTTAGATTCAGTTAGGCCTTAAATGCTCAAACTTCTGCAATGCATTAACTGATAAGTGAGTGAATTATGCATGTGATCCAACTATGATTTAAAAAAATTAATATACTCTGCCTTGTGCAAAAAATGGGAAACTAAAAACATGCAACTCTGTTATTTATAATGAGGTTTTGCCTACGTTATTAACAAACCTGTCCAGGGATTATATAGAAAAGTATAAAAAAATTTCAATATTCCACTTTCAATTAAGATTTTGCCTGAAGGTACCTGCCTCATCAGGATTAGATTTATTTTCCAAATGATTACAATTTGAAATCGAAATATTTGAACACTATTAGTAATTTTGGGTTAAATTTATATATATAGGCCTATGAATAGTGCAACCCCCCCTGGTGGCGCCACTGCGCCCAGGACCAGATTTACGCAGAAACCCCTACTCAAAAAATATAAAAATATTCAGGGGCGGAGCTAGATGGAGGACCAGGGGTGGCCATGGCCACCCTTAGCCAATCATTGGCCACCCCTACCATGGTGGCAGCTGTAATATTCTCAAGTGTAATATTGATTTATTACTTACTATTGTTTCATGTATTCATAATTTCTTGAAAACAAAAACACTGTGCTTAATTATGCACATCAATATAATAACAATAAATATGATAAGTACCGAATTGATGCTCTTTTCAGAACTGGATTTTGCGTTGTATGGGGTAAAGAGAAAATGATGTGTCTCTGCAAGGCTTCTGGGAAATCATAGATAAATAACTTTTTTAATAAAAACATATTAAATAATCAATTTATGTAGATATTAGTACTTGTAAATATAAATTTTATGCAGAATGATTACTGATAAAAGTAGGTAAGTAATGAAAATGGAAACCCAGAACTCAAACCTGAAAGTATTTTATCCACTATACCTTTTATCTAGAAAGCACGGATGTTTAAATATATGCATCTATTTGTTAGCAAAGGCTGTAGGAAAGTATATTTTGTCTTATCTTTGGCTTGACCCTGAGGTTCTGGCAACTATCCACTTTCGGCCACCTCTCAGTGTTCAGTGGTTATTGCCTGGCCACCCTTATAAAGATTTCTGAAAATTTTCTCAAGTTTTTTGTTAAAGTTTTTTTTTCTCAACATAAATATTAATCCTTTATAGGAATCAAATATAAAACACAGCAATAATAAATTGGATTAAAAAAATTAGTAAGGTTACTATGTGGGGGTGTTGGTCATTACAGATGGCACCACTATTGGCTTTGTCTTCCTTTAAGCTTTTTATATCTAGGGACTGTTATCTTGACTGAGGCTGCACTAAACAGCTGCTGAACAATGGAGTAGAAGCATGAGGGGAGGAGGGCACACACACCGCTCCAAATGGGGCAAAGGCCAGCTGTGGCAGGTCCAGATGTGAGCGCGCACCGGACTTCCCTGAACCGCATCATAGCTGCTCCGGCAGGCAGGCAGCGTCTGTTCTTTGCTGAAAATGCGACGCGCGTACCTGCCACCGAAACAGCGACAGCCCAAAAAGAGCCGCAGGCGCTACAATGCTAATGTTGTCGGGGGCTTTGACTTCTCCCAGCCACTGCAAAGAAGCCGCTCCGTGTGACAGGCACGGCGCCGCCGCTCTCCCTCCCGGTCTGTCGCTTTTTTTACGCCCTTTTCCGCATATTTAAGGAGGCGAGTTTAAAGAAAAGAAAAAAAAAGAAAAGCCGATCTCCAGAACGTCTAGATTAGTAGTGCAAGTAATGGACGAAACGGATATCATGGACCTAACGCATCAGAAGGCGAAGAAGCGACCGCGTCCAATCAGTTCCGTGGATGAAGCGGTGCACGCGTCGCTGAAGCGGCTGCCGATGCGAGCGGCGGAGTGCAGGGAGCCCTCCCTGATGTTCGCTGTCAGAGGAGAGCCCGTCCCTGCAGCGTCTCTCAAGCAGAATGACCACTCGGTGACTTCCTCTCCAACCACAGTGATGCCTGCACAGGTAAAACAAAACAGAGAAAAACAGAACTTTGGCGTTTCAATTCTCTTAAAAGCTCTTCACGGTTATTTTAAAACTGCGCACGTAGGTATTGAACTTTTTTTTTTCTTTTAAACCTATTATTTTCAGCCTCATTAATCATTTCTCGATTTTTTTCCCCCCTCTTTTCTAATTTTCATTTCCACTTAATTAACTTTTTTTTTAATAACACAAAAAAAACTGCTCTGAGAAATTTAGGAGAAATTGTCTGCTTAATGGTGTTTGTAGGTTAACGTGAGACAGTTTTTGCCCCCCAAAATCCTATTATGGCATTCAGATCAAGAGTCATTATTGCTCGCTTGCATGAGAGAGAGACTGATGCTTCAAATTAATTTGGTTTTGGAGATTATGGCCCACAGGAAGAGATGCTTGTAAGATAGTGGCAACATTCAGGTCAAGGTCAGGCTCCTGTATCCTGCAGTTAGAAAAACTCTATTTTTTACTCCTAGGCTCCAGAGAGTTGCGAACTAATGTATTTACACAGCTGGCTTGTAAATTGCAGCTGATGTTTTATTTTATTCCTATGAAGTGAATTCACCCTGTTATCTTTTTTCTGTGTTTATGGGGTCTTCAGGATAATCGCTCCAGCATGTCCAGACCCATCATCACCCGGTCACCAGTGTCTCCATTGAGTAACCAGGGCATCCCCACTCCTGCACAACTCACTAAGTCCAATGCCCCTGTGCACATTGATGTTGGTGGCCACATGTACACCAGCAGTCTGGCCACCCTAACTAAATTTCCTGAATCGAGGTGAGTTGCTTTCCTCCTCCAAATCTAAAAGGAATGAAAAGTTTTTTTGCGTAAAGTAAGCGAGAGATGTTCTGCCTCCACATTTTTGGCCTTTCTGAGGCATAAAACATTTAACAGAGAGCGTTGTGTTTAAGCCAAAATGTGCTTGGCAGTGCCGTAATTGTCTCGGAGTTTAATGTCAGCTCCTTTAATGTTTAATGTCATTATGTGACACTCAAATGTCACAACTCCTCAAATCATGTATGTATCTCACAGAGGCACTCGGAAGAGGTTGTGTTGTATAAAATATGTGGTGTCATTTGGTTTTTAATCACGAAAGGTACAAAACGCAGCACATCCTCTCAATTCTCACACGCGTTGTTTGGAAATGTGTTAGAGAGGTAAACAATTTATAGGCACTGTGAGAGCAGGCCACTGATCACAGACAAAAGTAACTTGGTTATTCTGACAGCTGTCACAGCAGCAGCAAAGAGCCAAAGGCCATGGAGCCATCTGGAGGCCGGGAGGCTGTGCTGTCGCCCTAAGACAAGGCCCGAGGGTGACGGGCACCCTGCCTCAGGGAACAAAGCACCAGCTTGCCCTGACCTCTCCAGACCTCCTATGCTTTTAATTTACCCTTTTTGTTGTTGTTTTTTTCACTTAAAAAGAACAATTATACATTTTGCAAATATGTGTTTTCAACAAGTCTATGGATATTTGCTTTTAAAGGTAAAATACATATTTTTTCTAATCTGGACATATTGTCCTTCAACTACCTTCCTGCTTTCCTTTCCCCCCACAACCCCACCTTTCTCTGTGCAGAATTGGTCGTCTCTTTGATGGCACAGAGCCCATAGTCCTGGACAGCCTGAAGCAGCACTACTTCATTGATAGGGATGGACACATGTTCCGCTACATTCTCAACTTCCTCAGGACGTCCAAGCTTCTCATTCCAGACGACTTCAAAGTGAGTGCATGTTCGTTCTAAGAAAACTGTAAAGTCCCATCAGCCTGTCAGCACACCTGCACAATGCACACTTAGGTCAGGGCAGTTCTGATGTTGGAAACCCGTCCAAGGATCTAGCCAAACAAATATATTTGATAGAGTTCATCCCCAAGTCAAGGGAGATAATTAATTCCCATTTGCTATTACTTGCCTGTTTTTTTCAGGAAAAAAAGAGCTTTTATTCACAAGAATTAGTGCACTGACTCTATTATTGCCGATTTTTGCAGCTCTTTATATGTCCACCTCCCAAATGTCCATGGACGCTGACTTGCTCGCTGTATATGACACATTAACATTCCTTCTCTTTACTCATTTGTGTGATTTACCCAGTAATTACTAGACTTGCCCTGGGAGAAAACAAATAAGCACAAAATCTGATAGACTGTCCAAAGCGCCACTCAATCAGTGGAAGGTATGCCAGTTAAAATAAGCAAAGGCTCAAGTTCAGGCAGAGGTCATTTTCACATTTGGTATTTATAAGTGAAACACTTGAAGAGGGGTGAAAAAGAAAAAAGTTCTTCACTTTTGCACTGCATCTTTTGCATCTTCTCACTGGTTCTTTTGTTATTTTTGCTGGTAATGTTCTAAAATATATAATTTCTGAACCCCTTCCTACTTTTTTTGACCAGGACTACAGCCTGCTGTATGAGGAGGCCCGATACTTCCAGCTGCAGCCCATGCTTGCTGAGTTGGAGCGCTGGCGCCAGGACCAGGAGCTGGGTCGGATCTCACGACCCTGTGAATGCCTAGTTGTGCGCGTTGCACCCGACCTGGGCGAGAGGATCACCCTCAGTGGCGACAAGGCCCTGATCGAAGATGTTTTCCCAGAAATTGGTGATGTCATGTGCAACTCTGTCAATGCTGGATGGAACCATGACTCCACCCATGTCATACGCTTCCCATTGAATGGCTACTGTCACCTCAACTCTGTCCAGGTACCAGACACTTTTCTTACTGCTAAGTTTTTAATCTCTTTAACTAGAAGTGATTCTATCTTTTTAAGTTAACCCGAGCACCTATACTTGTGTATAACTATACTTGTATATAGATACGTTTGCATGTTAGATCTATGTCCAGTGAACTAAGGTGATGATCTGTTCATTCTGCATCTTTTCATCTACTGTTAAGATATCTTGCAGACACTTAGCTTTTTTAATCTCACCAAATCATAAGTAAAGCCTTGCAGAGAAATGGGCTCTTTGATGAGTTCATCAAAGGATCAATTTATCGAGTGATCGCTGAACATCTACCACAATCTGTACTTCCCTCCTATCTGACTAGAATATTAATCTTGACATAGCCTCCAAAGTTGTTAGATAGAGTTTTTTTCTTTAATCCTAGTTCAACTCTTTCTCGACTTTGAAGCAAGCAGTAGTAGTTCCTGCCTGATTATTAATACAGACCTGAATGAATGTAAATCTGTTTTTAACAGTTAATAAAGTATGTATATCTGCCTCAGTGCCCCACTGTTACTCCAGAGTCTCAGGAAAAACACGAGTTGGACTGAATTATATCCACAGCTACTGTTTTGCTTTCCTGGTCTCTCCACAGTCGGCATGCTTCCAGCACTGACAGCCTGGATGCACACTTGTAGATTTTGGAGGGCTATGAAATTTTGATCACTAAGTCCAACAAAGACTCTTACAGATACGCTAACAGGGAAAACATGCACAGACTTTTAAGCCCAATTTTATCTAAGCTGGCTCAGAAATTATTGTAAATGGAAATAACTACTAGAAATAATCAGAAGAAGTGGACTTTTGATTTATGTTATACATATGTTTAAGGGATAGGGCTAAACCATTTTTATATAGTTTGTGATATGCCTAAAAGTAATCATCATTGTGACTCCCATTATTTGTTCTACCTTTTAAGATACTTTATTAGTAAATGGTTTTAATATGTTTATAGGCCTCAGGACCCCACAACATACTATAAATATACATGTTATAAAAATCATATAATCTCAAACTCTTCTGCTTAAAGCAGCACAGATTTGGCAATTACTATCTTTTTTATTCTTTTATTGATATACCACTGATTCATTGATTGTAATTGCCTGAAACACTCATCAAAAATTGATGGAAGAGAGACATTTTAAAAAAGATTTTACATTTATTTGGACTGCGTCTCCATCTGAGGAAGTGAAATCTCCACCTCCTTTCCAAAAACACACAAACAAAAACCCGACTCTGAAGTGTGTGAGTAGTGGAGAGCAAGCAAGAGAGTGAGCACGCTCCCTGGCAGGTTGTCCCCAGGCAGGGCCCATAATCCTGTTTGGTTATTAAAGCACGCCGGCGGTGAATGCTGTATCTGCAGCTAATGGAGGCAGGGAGGCGGAGGGGAGTAGGGGGAGGCTGGGAGAAGGAAGGGGAGCAGAGAGAGCTGCCAGCAGTAGGGGGACCTTTGTAGTTTTGGCGGAGGCTTTGGCCTGGGGCAGGACTGGGGAGGGGGAGGTTTAGCTCGGCAGCCCACACTGAGCCAAGTGGCAGAGAGAAAGCCTCACTGCTCCCTGGGGCCTCTTCGATGGAATGTGATCCTACTGCCCCCCCGGACACGTCTGTAGATGTCTGCAAGGCTGCAAGATCAGAAACGCTACACACACAACCAGAGACAAACACACGAAAAACAATGAAAGGAAGACAGGAGGCAATATGAGAAGCTCTTTGTTTGGTGAAGTCTTGTGAAACTCTCATACTGATTCCGATCATGAGATGATTGTTGCCACAACTAAGATCCAACGCTGATTAGCAGTATAGTTGCTGCTAAAGTAGAAACATAAGTGTTTTGGCCATTTTCTTGTCCTTTAGTTGTTCCAGAGGGGATAGACTGTTAGAAAATACAGTCATGTTTTAGCATCTTAAAATGACTCATGCCTGTGAGTTTTACTCTTACCTAAAACGTTTCCATTTTTTTACTTCATCTACAGGTTCTGGAGCGTCTCCAACAGCGCGGCTTTGAGATTGCTGGTTCCTGCGGTGGGGGCGTGGACTCATCCCAATTCAGCGAGTATGTCCTTAGGAGGGAGTTGAGGAGGACGAGTCAGCGAGGACCCAATTCAAACAGGATAAAGCAAGAGCAGCTGGACTAGAATCCTCCAGGGCAGCAGGGGGTGCTAGACTTTTCTGATGCAGCCAAGCAATGGGTGCCGCAGAGCTTTCTGGACTCTGTTTTTCTTCATTTCCTTGTTAATGTTTCTGTTTTCTTACACTTGAGAACCACATAGAGAATAAAAATGAAGTGCAACAGGAGATTTTTGCCATACGAAGATACAAGGCATTTGATAACTTTGAGATTGCAAAGACATTTGTGATTGTCTTGTTCCCCATACACCAGTTCAAAAAGTATTTATATATATATTTGCTGGATCCCCAAACAAAGTTTGTTTTAAAACTTGGAACCTACATTAGGTTAAAAAAAATTGATTTCTAACTTACTCATATAAATTAAAAGACTTTTATTGCTGAAGTAGTGTGTTGCATAGCTTGTCGTCAGTGACTGTTTTTGTTGTCTCACTAGCTTTTTGGACACGTACATTTTTAACCTTCTCCAAAAAATAACCTTTAGTTGTTAAATTGGCAAAATCTCTGACATTTTATCAGCCTCTAGGTTAATAAAACATCATTTTCACAAGTGGCATGCACAGGATAACCATTGAAGGTGGTTCATTAAGAATAGCCATCAAAAGCAGTGAAAATAGATATTTTTGTAAAATATTGTCTCACCATTTGCCTCACAGGGTAATTTTAACATTCATACAACATTCAAAATCTTAAAGACTTGTTTTATTGGAATCTTAATTATTCTCAGACTTATGACCTGTACATTTTCATTGTATGTATTAGTGTTTTTTACATTGAATCTTTTTAAAGCAAGCTTCTTGGCTCAGACATGACTGAACAGATTAAAAGCTTATTGTACTATCCAAACTGAGATGACTTGTATTTGTAGCACATATTGATATGAAGTTGGATATAAAGTATTTCTAATATTACTGAAACACTTGCGCTAATTAGATTTAAGAGGAATGTAGCGAAGAAAATGTGAAATAAATCTTAGCTAAAGTTGTAAGGTTGTCTGTTTGCGGTTTTTTCTTTGGACACACATTAGTTCAAATCCTTTATTTGTTGGCCCTTCTTGAATGACAGAAGTAATTTAAAGTAATTACCTCAATTAGAGAGGTAAAGCAATCCATATGGTTGTTACCTCGGAGGATTTATGCTGGCGAAATCACTGAATGCAGGGCATTTTTTATTTTGTTATACTGAATAGAGTCGACTTCTCCACGCAAGCACTGTCAGTTGTGTTTCTACATATTCCTACAGGGCCAAAATTCAAAGTGAAGTCCCAGACATTGTCGCCTTGGCAAAATCTCCCCTTTTCTTTGACTGTACAAAGTTTATGCTATACATCTACCTTTTAGGCCTTTTTGACCCAGATTTCCTTTGGACATATCTGCTATAAGCCAGACGTACAAATGTGGCTAGGGACCATTGTTTTTTTGGAAAATTGTTTGATAAAATAATTCAAATAATTATCAACTGAAAGCTATTACACTATTGTTTTTTCTTGTTCGTTTACAGAAAAACATGTCTATTTACCTGCATTCTTGACAACATAATATTGATTTAATTGTGTTCCCACAAAATCTTATCTTGTTTACAACTGCAGGAAAAAATACAACTATAAAAAGTTGTGAAAGGATTCCTCCTTAGCAAGCCTGGCTCCTTACAGCCTCTTCCTGTGTCATTAATAATTTTGTGGGGAAAATCGCTTCAAGTAAAGAAATTGCCAAAAAAACAGTTAGGATTGTTGCTAGGTTATACTTTACAGTGTACAAAATATTCAATGCAATCTGTAAATCTAAGCTTATTTGCAACAAATGGGTAATTTTCTGCTAAGTTTACCACAGATCAGATTTAATTTGGTTTATATTGTTTATCATAAGCCTCACTGACTTAAAGTCTTAACGAGTATACTGAAGAGCTCATCTTAAGGCAGATCCTTTATCCATTTCTTTTTACAAAATAAAAACAGTGTCACGCAAAGCTGCTGGTAATCGAACCCAGGACCTTCTTGCTGCAAGGAAACTGTGCTACAGTGCAGCCCAAGCACAGGCCATTTTACCACTAGTGAAGGTCAGACTTGAGATTCATTCACCTCATCTTCAGATCATCCCAGTGCATCAGTCTACACAGGCCAATGTAAACAGCATTTTGATCTTACCTGTATGGATGTAATTCTAAACTGTACTCTGAAATTAGTAAAACTATTTGCAGCTTTCCCTCATATTCCTGTGTTGATCCGTAGGTAATATTTTGCACGGTAGGTGCCTCCCACCTTTATTGAAAATGCCTCATGGCCATCCTATGCTAGCAAGATAATTATAAATGTAACCTGTGGCAAAACAGCTAAAAAACACAACTCCCACATTTCTCCCTTGCCATCTCTCACTCTCTTTCTACTTCTCTTTCTTTTCCTCTCTCCCTCCCTCTCTCACTCAGCCTTCAGGAGCTGATTTCAAATTTTCAAAGGTATCTCATGGTGAACCCGAGAGATTGAAAGCTCATAAATACCTTTATTATAATATAATGGTCACATATTACTACCCATTATTTCGAGGAGAAAAATTGGTTCATTTGTGTGATGAATGCCATCACAGAGGTCTTAAGTGTACTGAGATGGACAGTGGCTGGGAGAATAACACCTCAAATGGGCACTCACTGGTAGATTGATATGTCAAAATGACTTTGTCTGACTCATGGAGATTCAGGACCTGCTGTTAAAGAGATTTATTCAACCATACATGCAATTCGATTACAAAATCATGCAAAGCAGGGGTGGGAAGTGATTAAACCCAAACATTATCTTCATAAGAACACCCACTTTTAAGCATGACTCCAGCGTATTTGTGTAGACTTTTTGATATAGAAAAGAATACTGTGATAAAACAATTTTTCAGGGATTTCCTTTTTTTCATTACACTTAAATTTTTCAAATCAACAAAGAAGTTATATCATCTACTATTATTTAAAGATAAATTCTGTAAGTATTTAACTGGAAAATATCTTTAAAATAGCCTTTTTATTTTAACCTTCTATGACTAAAACATTGTTTGATGATCAGACTGACACCTCAGCGGTTCAGCGCTGATACAGCAGTAGGCCTGTAGTCTATTTGTCTTGAAGGTACTTCTAGTCAGAAGTTTCCAATGCTGTTCAAGCATTTCCATGTAAAATGCGTCAAATCTAGCATAAGCAAAGCATTATATTCAAGATGGATTATGTGGATACTCTAAAGCGACGGGCATCCAGCTCAACTCATACACCAATGGCAACTCCAGGTGAAAACAGTAAACGAAAAACCTTATTAAGTACAAGCGTGAGCTACAAGAACAAGGAGAACGCCACAAGTGGCAGTATCAACTCCGTCATTTCTTCTTTAGTTACAACCATAATGTAGGTTTCAAATGTTATTTTAAATTTTTTAACATATACATACCTAAGGCCTCTATGAAAACACAAATGCTTCTCTTGATAAGTATTCTAATTGAGATTAGTCTGTTGTTTGTAATATTAAATTAAGCTTCAAGATCCACACATAGACCCTATTTATGCTGTTCCTGCAGCAATTCTTAAATAGGACCTGTGTGAGATTGTGAATTAGGCTTAAAGGTCTTAAAAGGCAATACACTGTGTTCTGATTGCAAAAAAAAACTTTAGAGCGTTCCACTGAAATCTATCAGTCTAAAGAAAGGCTTCAGAGTCCAGTGGCGGCTGGTGAAGTTTTCTCCAGGGGTGGCTATAAATTCAAAATAGACATATACCAATAACCAATCAAAGGTACACTACGTTATCACACCAGTACATTTATATGAAGGCCAACAACAAAAAACATTTAAAAAAACACTTTATAAAAAGAATAGCATAATTTCATGTACAGGTTTACTTTTTGTACATACATTTGCCCTTCTGACTTAGAAAACTTTTATTGTCATTTTGTATACAGTGCATACAAAACTTTTGTACAGCTTTCAGAACATTTCCATTCCTTAATATGCAGAAGTGATCACATGTTAACAGTGTGGGAGAAAAAAACATGCTGCAAAAAACTCATTGATATGGAAGTTCAGAGCTTTAAATATGTATGGTACAAATATTCATAATTTTGGTTTGATGTTATCAGTGTGATGCGGAGTCAGTGACATGATTAAGAGCTTTCTCAACAGCTCAGCTGCTTGTTTTTTTTGTACCTACAGGTGGCTGTTTTGTTCACACCAACATCTACTTCATTACCTTCAGCAAACCGTTTTGTGCATCTTTATAGTATATTTATTTTTGTTGTTCAGGTTTTGCCCCAGCTCCCATTAAGTGCTTAATGGCTTTCATGTTAACTACTCTTTTAAAATAGCTTATCAGCATTGTGGGAAAACTGAATGTAAGGCCTCAAAGTGATCACTGTGTTGTAGTGTAGCATGAAACATATCCATGTTGTAGTGTTTGGTTTGGACAGCACAGTGCTAAAGAACCCATATTTCTATATCATTTCTGTTGTCGCTTCACATCTCTGCTGTGTAGGCGTGCTGGGAATTTGTATGTTTCCCTGTGTCTGTGTGGGTTTTCACAGATTAAAAACATGCATGTTAACACAAGTTTCCTACAGAAACTATTATAGTATTGGTACTTGTACTGCCATAAGTCACATATTTTTTTTTATTTATTTGTTTATTTGATAGGGACAAGTATGTTCCATACATCATGTCACACACTACAACATTTTAACTAAGGCTAATTCTCAATGCCTGTCTCCAGTTAGGCTTTTACACAAAACACAGTGACTGTACACAAGAAACAACAGAACAAATTACACACTAAAACATCACAGAAATAAGATCAGGTCAGTTAGATTATTAATGTCCACATGACTGACCTCTCAATAAAAAGTCTTTAAGTTTATTTTTAAAAAGGACCCAGTTTGACTCTCCCTTCAGTTCTGCAGGTAATGTATTCCATGTTTTGGTGCCTTGTACAATGAAAGCTGATTGACCGAAAGAAGTTTTGCATCTGGTCACTCCTCTTGTGACTGAGCCCACAGCTCCGAGAGGAACTACACAGTCACTCAAAACCTTAGGGGCCTTATCATGCAGGTATTTGTAAACCAGTTTTAACTGAGCAAATTTCACAAAGTTCTCGAAATTTAGCATTTTTAAATTGTTCAGGCTAACACAGTGATGGGACCTGATTGGTTTTTTATCTAAGATTTTTATAGCTCTATTATACATCATCTGAAGAGGCTTGATAGTAGTGCTTGTGGCCTGTGACCAAGAACTAATGCAGTAACTTAGATGGGAAAAGATCATGGAGTGCACAAAACTGAGATATGGGCTTGGTCCTAGAAGAGAAACAGACAGACATAGTTTTTTTTAACATTCAGAGACAACCCTGCATTATGGAACCACACTGACACAGTTTGTAGATGTCCTGACAGTTCATTAGAAACTGCTTGCACAGTCTTTCCACGAACATAAATTATTGCATTGTCTGCATATAACTGAAAACCTGCTGTTGGACAAGACTCTGGCAAGTCATTAATGTATAATGTAAAGAGTAGAGGGTCAAGGATGGATCCCTGTGGCACTCCTGTATTTATCTTTAAAAATGATGATTTTTCGTTGTTTATTGTGACACACCAGTCAATAATGTCCTATATGTGCATAAGTGGCATCCCTTTCCAAATCCATACATGTTCATATGATGTGGGTCCCCCATTTGCAGTTACAACTGCTTAAACTCCTCTGGGAAGGCTGTCCCCAAGGTTTAGGAATGTTTATAGCAAATTCATCCTAAAGGTGTTCTATTGGGTTAAGATCGGGACTCTGTGCAGGCCAGTCAGGTTCATCCACACCAAACTCTGCCATCCATGTCTTCATGGATCTTGCTTTGTTTACAGGCACAGGCATGTTGGAATAGGGAGGGGTCAGCTCCAAACTGTTCCCAAAGTTGGTAGCATGGAATTGTCTTGGTTTGCTAAACCAACACTGACTGGGCAGCAAGGTGTGACAAACCTTCATG